AAAAAATCAGGGATTATTGCAGGGAAACTTGTAACCTTTGGGTGTGCTAACTAGTTTCTTCCCAAAAAGTTTAAAGAGCTCTCTTGTGAAAGAATATTCCTATGAGTAACTGAGGGGTACGGCTCCCAGACTGAAAAGTATTTGGGGTCTGTCACCTCTTTTCTGATGTTCCTACTTCTATTCTTTATTCTTCTGACTACCTCTATTAGGAAAGATAATACTAAGAATACCTGTCCCTTCTTCTCAGTCCAAATAGAAGCAAACCCAGGTTGTATTTGAGATATCTGCATATTTTCTTCCAAGCAATTCTTTGTCCTCTTCTCTCCCATGCTTTTCTATTTCCTATTTTCAGCAGGCTCTGAAGTCATCTATAATTTTTACTGCCCCTCAGTGACATTACATGGATATTCATCCCCGATTTGCAGATTAAAGCACTGAATCAGAGTGAGGTGAGGGTTGCCCAAGGTTACACAATAAATCTGGCCCCAAACAGGGGTAACCCTTGAGTTTCTAGCCTGTTGATTGGCCACTGACCCGTGCTGCAGGCACACAAAGGAAGCTGCACCCACAGCAGTCTGTTGTGGATGGTTGCTGAGCTTCGCATTCGGCATTGGGCTTGCTTTGTTTCCTGCCAGGACCAGCATTTTCTTCTACCAGATCGGCAGGCTTTGTGGGCGTCTTCCTAGGGCCCTCCCCTGCACTCTGAATAGGAAAGCTGGAAGCTGTGCTTTAGAGAAGCTTTAAGACGCTGTAAGAAACCAGAAGAGTGAGTGCCAGTTGTATGTGCGTGGTCTCCATCCGCAGAGCCGGAGCTGGGCGCAACAGTGTTGACTTGTAATTGATGAATTTAGATCGGGGGCAGGCCGGGGGAGGGCAGTGCTTTTGATTTAGGCTGGGAAAGGCCTCCTAGTGACTATGTTCAATTTGGAGGAATTCAGATGTTCTTTTGTGATACAAGTGAAGCTGTGTAATACAAATGAGGAGTTTTACCTTCCCTAAATCTTCCCCTTATCATTCCCGTATTATCAGTGAGATCTGGTTACGATTTATGTAAATGGTGGCTAAAAAATTCAAACGACTGAGGGGGAGAATTCTCATTTTAGAACTTCACATGCTGTGCTGAATAAGTAGCGTGGGATGTTGGCTTTGTGACAGGTCTTTTGTCATTTTTCAGAAAGCATTTTGACTTGTTAATGTCAATTTGGAACAGTTGAAAAAATACAGGAAAATAAGGTAAATAACATACATATTGAGGGTGGGGACAAAATGAATGTTCTGAACCAGCTGCCAGCTTACAGTAGCCATATAAGCAGTAGCAGCAACGCACCAACCTGGTGAGTAATAGGCCTGATTCACTGGAGAGATAGTAGCGCCTTTAATGAGTCAGATGGATGCACACTGGGTGTGGGAGCAGTTGGACTTGTGGGCAGAAAGTCTAGCAAGAAGCTCAGACTTGCAAACAACTCTAGGACATGCAAAGCAAGCTGGCATTGGAGCTTGCTGGACACAGCTGCTCAGGAATAGGCAGCTGGTTTTCCCTTTGATCCCGGAGATTCCAAAGGTTACTTTCCTCTTTGTTCCCTTCCCAGGGTCAATTAGAGTAGAAACTGCAGATGCTTTTCAGTTGAGAATTTTCCTAGATTTCTTAAAAATGTGTATGCTGGCTTCAAATCTGCCATCAAGAATTCCATTACCTTACTTTAAGCCTCCAGTTCCTTCAAGATGTATTGTGGAGGAGACCAGAGGGCCCTTGCTTTGAGGCTTCAGAGGATGGTCATTATCTGGGTGAGCACTGTGGATAAAGGCTGCGAGAGCAACTGAAAGAAAGTGGGCCCCTGAATGAAAGTGATTTTGCAAAGTTTAGGCAGATGCCACCATCAGAAACTGATATTTTCTGATGTCTTTCTCACCTTCCTCTAGAGCATTCAGTCCAGAAATGACCAGCCTGTCCAAGGAGGAAATTACTGATATTGATCTGTTCCTTAGAGCAGTGTTTCAGCCTTTTTTTTTTTTTTTTTGAGACGGAATCTCATTCTGTTACCCAGGCTGGAGTGCAGTGGCATGATCTCAGCTCATTGTAACCTCCACCTTCCTGGTTCAAGCGATTCTCCTGCCTCAGCCTCCTTAGTAGCTGGAATTACAGGTGTGCACCACCACACCCAGCTAATTTTTGTATTTTTGATAGAGATGGGGTTTCACCATGTTGCCAAGCTGGTCTCAAACTCCTGACCTCAAGTGATCCTCCTGCCTCGGCCTCCCAGAGTGCTGGGATTACAGGCATGAGCCACCACGCCCGGCCTTCAGCCTTTGTGATGGTAAAGCACAGTAACACATTTCTCATTACACCCCTGGACGCACACACACATAAAACCCAAAAGTTTCACAAAATGATTCTTGCTCTTACTACTTTCAGTACACTCTGCATTTAAAAAAAAGAGAATGCTGGCTGTGGCTTCCTAAGTGGTACGTGCAGTTTTCACATCAGTGCCCTTAGCAATAAAATGTGTCCTATCCTGATTATCTCTGGACAAAGTCTGAATGGGGCTTGGCTCTAATCTCTAGTCCTCACTGGACATTTTACATACCTGGCCTTTGCCTCTACCCTGATGTGGAATGATCATGGGGGTGGGAAATACAGCTGGATCCGAAAGCTCTGAAGTGGGGATGGAGGTGTCACAGCTGAGGCTAGGCCCATTCTGCAGGGCACTCAGTGTGTGCAGTTGGTTTTCTATCAGGGGTCAACTGGCAGGGGGACTTGAGGACAGATCTCTGGGCATGAAGCAGGGCCTTTGCCTGGGGCTTGCTATGTGGCTCAGCCTACACAGCTCTCTCCCTGTCAGTCCTGTCCAAAGCCCAGGAAACTAATGTACCACCCCTGAGGAAGACAGCCTACCTCTCCATCCAAGGAAGTGTTTTACCTGTGGTAAGCACTGGGGACAGAATCCTTGAGAAAGGAGGGTGCTATGTCCCAGTGGTGGAAGAAAAGAGAGGACCTGGGGTAAGCAGCCATGGCATGGACCTCATCTGAGGTGGCACCTGGCTAGGCGTCCTGACCCCCAATCTTTCCCCAGTAACCATCACTTTGAGTAAACAGTGGCTCCACCCCCAGCATGGTTCTTTGCACCAACATTTGGGGAATGCCTACCAGGGGTCACACACTGACCTGGATGCTGAGTGTAGGGTGTCTACAACATCGTGCCTAAAAAGTCTCTGTATGGGGTATAAGAAGGTGCTGGTGCAATACAGATGAGATGAGAAGCATCTTTCAGGGAATGGGTTGATCCCAATTCAGGCTTCCCAGAGAAGGATGTCTATAGACTTGATATTAGCAAGGGAGGTAGGGTAACCAGGCCACAGGACTGCTGGTGTAAAGACCAGGGCATATGAAATGGCAAGTGTGATTGTGCTTTCAGCCAGTAATTTGGTATTGTCAAATGATGTGACCAAATAGCTGGAGAGGCAGATCCTAAAGGGTCCTGTGAGCCAGGCTAGACTTCATCTTGTCACTAACTAGTGGAGAGGCTCTGAAGGAGATAAAAAAGCTCAGTTCGTCTCGTGATTAAATCCAAGTTTTACAAAGTCACTCTGACTGTAAGTGGAAGGTGGGTTGGCCAGGGGATCATCTAGTCTGGGTGAGAGGGGATAACATGAAGGGGTGAAGAGAGATTTTGAAGTGATTCACAGGATTAAATATTTAAATAACGGAAGTGGAGGAGATGGGGCGGGGGGTGTTCCAGATTTCAGGCACAGAAGAAAGAAGTGCAGTAAGCACAAATAAAGAGAAATAGGAACAGCAGGTTTTAGGGGAGAAGATAACAGAATGGGTTAGAAATGACACTTGAGGCCGGGCGTGGTGGCTCACGCCTGTAATCCCAGCACTTTGGGAGGCTGAGATGGGTAGATCACAAGGTCAGGAGATTGAGAACATCCTGGCTAACACAGTGAAACCCCGTCTCTACTAAAAATACAAAAAATTAGCCTGGCATGGTGGCGGGTGCCTGTAGTACCAGCTATTCGCTACTCGGGAGGCTGAGGCAGGAGAATGGCGTGAACCCAGGAGGCGGAGCACTCCAGCCTGGGAGACAGTGAGACTCCGTCTCAAAAAAATAAAAAGAAATGACACTTGAGTACCCTAGTGTGCTAGGTAATGATCTGTCTTCTGTCTGCTTCCCTTCATTTATCATGTATATTCCCATTTAATTTGCACAAAGACTTTGAGTTAAATGGTCTTACCCCAATTTGTCAAATTTCTGTGTTAGATGCATGATATGGTACAAGAAACCATAAGTGGCTGAGGCAGCATTGGTGTTCAAATTGCCTGACTACAAAGACAGTGCTTGTTGGCTACATTCTGTTGCTTCCCAGTTTAGAACATTTTACATTGATGCGCCTGTTGCATTTCCAAATAAAAAAGTGCAGAAAGAAGGTGGCTGTATAAATCTGGGGCTCACAAACTAATTTTCATTATTGAGAGTTTGCTTTCAAGGAGCAAATTGTGGCTCCTTGATTATGAACCTTAATTAAAAAAAATAATAATAATAAGTCTTATTCCTGCCTTGTCTGGGGCAAGCCTTAATGGATTTTTACTGCTGTGAATTTTCTTTTCATTGAAGATTTTGCCTTCATCTATGTATCTACTTTCCTCCTGACCATATTCAAGGCAGTTTATTCATGAATATACCCATTTGTGAAATTTGAACTTAAGTATACAAGATTATAGCTGTTTGGGAAGCTTTTTTTTATTTTTTTAAGAGTGGGAGTAGAAAAAGGTCTCTGTATTCTGAATGGGAAGACAGTGTAAAGCAATTTTTTCCCTTTTCCTGTCCTCCTTAAAAAAAAAAATAAACAGCCATATGCCTCTGCCAAATACTAACTGCCTCATCACCTTTTGTCCAGATCGGGCAGCTTACATTTGGTTTTAAGAAATTAGGAATATGTGTCTTTCTGGCACCTCAGTAACCCACGTGATTGTGATTCTTTTCTCTTCTTGACTCTGATAGGTGGCATGGAATGTTCACATGGGAGAGCCACATGAGGCCGCCCACCACGCTTCCTGAAGGATGCCCGGGTGGAAGAATTTTGACGTGCCAGTGTCCTCGTTCTACAGGGTGTTCCATTCTTTCACAATCTCAGAAAAATGGGATTAAAAGAAACTATTTTGTGAAATAAGAAAACTGTTTTCCATTTTTAATGACCAACATGTATTAAGATGGACACCTACTCTATGAAATACGAAGTTCTATGGTCCCGAAGAAGCCAGTGCCTATCCTAAATAAAAACAGACTTGAGTGGATATGAGAATGTTGATTAGTGGCAGAAGAGTCAAAAAATGGCAGTTTATTCAGTTATTTGCAACTTGTTTTATAGGGAGCCTCATGTTTTTTTGGGAACCGATCGATAATCACATTGTGAGCCATATGAAGTCATATTCTTACAGATACCTCATAAATAGCTATGACTTTGTGAACGATACCCTGTCTCTTAAGCACACCTCAGCGGGGCCTCGCTACCAGTACTTGATTAACCACAAGGAAAAGTGTCAAGCTCAAGACGTCCTCCTTTTACTGTTTGTAAAAACCGCTCCTGAAAACTACGATCGACGTTCCGCAATTAGAAAGACGTGGGGCAATGAGAATTACGTTCGGTCTCAGCTGAATGCCAACATCAAAACTCTGTTTGCCTTAGGAACTCCTAGTCCACTGGAGGGAGAAGAACTACAAAGAAAACTGGTTTGGGAAGATCAAATGTACAATGATGTAATTCAGCAAGACTTTGTTGATTCTTTCTACAATCTTACTCTGAAATTACTTATGCAGTTCAGTTGGGCAAATACCTATTGTCCACATGCCAAATTTCTTATGACTGCTGATGATGACATATTTATTCACATGCCAAATCTGATTGAATACCTTCAAAGTTTAGAACAAATTGGTGTTCAAGACTTTTGGATTGGTCGTGTCCATCGTGGTGCCCCTCCCATTAGACATAAAAGCAGCAAATACTATGTGTCCTATGAAATGTACCAGTGGCCAGCTTACCCTGACTATACAGCTGGAGCTGCCTATGTAATCTCGGGTGATGTAGCTGCCAAAGTCTATGAGGCGTCACAGACACTTAATTCTAGTCTTTACATAGACGATGTGTTCATGGGCCTCTGTGCCAATAAAATAGGGATAGTACCACAGTACCATGTGTTTTTTTCTGGAGAGGGTAAAACTCCTTATCATCCCTGCATCTACGAAAAAATGATGACATCTCATGGACATTTACAAGATCTCCAGGACCTTTGGAAGAATGCTACAGATCCTAAAGTAAAAACCATTTCAAAAGGTTTTTTTGGTCAAATATACTGCAGATTAATGAAGATAATTCTCCTTTGTAAAATTAGCTATGTGGACACATATCCTTGTAGGGCTGCGTTTATCTAATAGTACTTGAATGTTGTATGTTTTCACTGTCAGTGAGTCAAACCTGGATGAAAAAAAACCTTTAAATGTTTGTCTATGCCCTAAGTAAAATGAGCATGAAAGACAAATATTATGAAAGCCTAGTCCATCAGAATGTTTCTTTGATTCTAGAAGCTGTTTAATATCACTTATCTATTTCATTGCCTAAATTCATTTCAAAGAATTCGTATTTAGAAAAGGTTTATATTATTAGTGAAAACAAAACTAAAGGGAAGTTCAAGTTCTCATGTAATGCCACATTATATACTTGAGGCGTAGAGACGTTATTAAGAAGTCTTGATGTTAGAATAATTGCTTTTGGAAAATACCAAATGAACGTATAGTACAACATTTCAAGGAAATGAATACATTGTTAGACCAGGTAAACAAGTTTATTTTTGTTAAACAGCACTTGGTGGAGGTAGTAGGGGCAGGGAAAGGTCAGCATAGGAGAGAAAGTACATGAATCTGGTAAAAGAAAGTCTCTTGTTCTTAAGAGGAGATGTAGAAAAATGTGTACAATGTTATTATAAACAGACACATCACTTCTTACCACATCCATGTAGCTATTGGTGATAGAGTCATTAAAATACCTTTTTTTTTTTTGGTATCTTTTTTCAAGGTTAATGAGAACTTTGAGAAAAGTGAGTAATGCTGCCCTAATACTTTGTATGTTTTTAATGGATTTTTTTTAAGTATTAGAAAATGACACATAACATGGGCAGTTGGTTGCTCATAGGGTCCTTCTGTAGGGAGAAACCATTGTTAATTCAAATAAGCTGATTTTAATGAAGTTTTCAACTGGTTTTTAAATATTCAATATTGATCTGTGTTTAAGGTTGTTATTTGAATGTAGTTTACATAGAGGAATATAATAATGGAGAGACTTCAAATGGAAAGAGAGAACATTACAAGCCAAATTTATCCATAATTTTATAAAATGAAATCTTAGTGTCTAAATCATTGTACTGATTACTAAAATTAACCCACTCCTCCCCAATGAGGTCTTATAAACCACAGCACTTTGTTCCAAGTTCAGAGTTTTAAATTGAGAGCATTAAACATCAAAGTTATAATATCTAAAACAATTTATTTTTCATCAAATAGCTGTCAGAGGTGATCTTTATTTTCTAAATAATTCAAACTTGAAAACAGTAAAAAAGTGATGGAAAAGTTGCCAGTTTGGGGTTTAAACCATTTTTAAAGCTGCATGTTCCTTGCAATCAGAGAGATGTGTCTGAGATCTAATAAAGTAAGTTACATTTATTTTACAAAGCAGGATAAAAATGTGGCTATAATACACTACCTCCCTTCACTACAGAAAGAATTAGGTGGTGTCTACTGCTAGGGAGATTATATGAAGGCCAAAATAATGACTTCAGCAACAGTGGCTGAACTCACTCTAAGACCTTTGACAGCAGAGGCACCTGTTAGGGAAAATAAGATGTCTCATATAATAAGGTAATGTCTAAAAACATGCAAAACAAAACTAAAAAAGATTTATCAGTATACACAACTGGCTGATGATACTTAACAATTTTTAGCAGGTAGCTTTTTAATGTTTACAGAAATTTTAATTTTTTTCTATTTTGAAATTTGAGGCTTGTTTACATTGCTTAGATAATTTAGTATTTTTAACTAATGTCAAAACTACAATGTCAAACATTCTAGGTTGTAGTTACTTTCAGAGTAGATGCAGGGTTTTAGATCATCACAGTTTAAGTTTTCTGACCAATTTTAAAAAACGTAGAGAACAAAAGCATATTTGACCAAGCAACAGGCTTATAATTAATTTTTATTAGTTGATTCTTTAATGATATATTGCCTTTTGGCCATATATACCCTGTGTATCTATACTTGGAAGTGTTTAAAGTTGCCATTGGTTGAAAACATCAGTGTCTCTGGCCATCAAAGTGATCTTGTTTACAGCAGTGCTTTTGTGAAACTATTATTTATTTGCTAAAAGAACTCTTCTGAACCGTGTCCTTTTTATTTTTGCTTAGAATAGAATGGAGCAGGTTTAAATTTCAAGGAAATATGAAGGCACTTCCTTTTTTTTCTAAGAAGGAAGTTGCTAGATGATTCCCTCATCACACTTAAAGTACTGAGAAGAGTATTTGTAAATAAAAGGGTTCCAACCTTTTAAAAAAGAAGGAAAAAACTTTTTGGTGCTCCAAATGCAGGGCTATCTTTTTTAAAAATGTCAACAAAGGGAAAATAAACTATCAGCTTGGATGGTCACTTGAATAGAAGATGGTTATACACAGTGTTATTGTTAAAAATTTTTTTACCTTTTGGTTGGTTTGCATCTTTTTTCCATATTGTTAATTTTATACCAAAATGTTAAATATTTGTATTATTTGACTTTTGCTCTTGTATGACAAAATAATTAGTGGGTTAAAAAAAAAAATCTATGATTTCCAATAAACAACTGAAAAATTATCAGGAGATGTGTATTTAAACTTTTTCATGAACATTGCTTATATAATCATTCATTCTGTTTTAATGTCCTACATGGTCTTAGCCCTATTCCTATAGGATGATCATGTTCTCTGCATTATAGGGCCACCTAAGATGCTACTGTTTGTCAAATGACTCACGCTGGAATGTCTGGATGGGGAGATGTTCTTTCCTAATGTAGTCATGTGCCACAAAATGACGTTTCGGTTAACAATGGACCATATATATGACGACAGTCCCATGAAATTGTAATGGAGCTGCCCTACACAGGTGTACCATTTTTTATCTTTTATTTCAGATTTTTACTGTACCTTTTGTACATTTAGATATATTTAGATACATAAATACTTTCCATTGTCTTACAGTTGCCTGCAGTATTCAGTAACATGCTGTACAGGTTTGTAGCCCAGGAGCAATAGGCTCTACCATATAGCTAGGTGTCTAGTAGGCTATTCCATCTAGGTTCTCGTATGTATACCCTGGGATGTTTGCATGTCCATGTGGTCACCTAAAGATACATTTCTTGGCTGGGCGCAGTGGTTCACGCCTGTAATCCCAGCACTTTGGGAGGCCGAGGCAGGTGGACCACCTGAGGTCAGGAGTTTGAGACCAGCCTGGCCAACATGGTGAAACCCTGTCTCTATTAAAAATACAAAAATTAGCCGGGTGTGGTGGCACACACCAGTAATCCCAGCTACTCGGGAGGCTCAGGCAGGAGAATTGCATGAACCTGGGAGAGGGAGGTTGCAGTGAGCCGAGATTGTGCCACTGCACTCCAACCTGGACGACAGAGCAAGACTCTGTCTCAAAAAAAAAAAAAAAAAAAGCATTTCTCAGAATTTATCCTCATTGTTAAGCAATGCATGACTATAATCTGTTGAGAGAGGGAAGAAATCACCTCTAGTTACAGTGCCTTAAGATACCATTTGCAAAAGTTACGTTTTCCTTTTCTTTGATACTGTTAGCTGTCTGAAATACAGTCAATTTTAACCCTAATCTCTTAATATCAGGAATGCCCTTACACCTACTTCGGAGTGTTTGGTGCTTCGATATATTTGCATGTAGTGTGCTCTCATCTGTTTTTTACCAGATTCCTGCTCAGTTCTTCACATAGCATATTGTGTAACTCAATCTATATTTAAAACTTGTAAGCATCTGAATTATTTGGTTATGGTAGAACTTTTTACTTGCAAGGCATGGTAGGAGTGTTTGTAGTTGGTACTAAAATGTGATGACTTGGAAGAATTAATTAATGACCTATATTTGGGGACTTTAATTGGATGCTATAGCTGCAACGAGAATAGAACCAGAGAACTCTTGATATGCAAGGTTATTCATTCTGCGATAATAATGGGAGGAATATTCGATGTCTCTTTGAGCCCATTTTCCTTCCAATCACTTCTACATTCTGCAGTGATACAGTCCTTAATAATAGCTTTCATTACAATATTCCTTTACTCCAGACCTCAAAGACTCCTTACTGCCTCCAGCATCAAATCTAAACTCTTTTACCTGGTTTTCAAGGCCCTCTGTAATCTTTTCCTCCTTCAAGATAAAAAGCTTGGTTTTTATCACTGCCACTATTATCTATCATAATGTCATTCGTGACCCTACCTTGCTTAAGTTGGTTTCCCTTGCCAAGAACACCGCTTTTTCTATACCTGCTGAAATTTTGGAAACCCAGTTCTACCTTCTCTCTTCCCTTAAGCATCTCTTCCTTCCCTCCTCCCCAAATTTATACTTAGTCACATATATTATTGTACTACCTACTAATCATTCCATGCGTGTTTTTACTAGCTATAAGTTCTGAAGGCAACCATGCCTTGCACAGTGTCCACTTAGGATTCTGAATAATAAATCATCTCCCAAAAATCTGAAAGCTTTCTATATACCAAGCAAATTTGTATTAGTTATGCAGCAAAACTCAAATCTATAGAATCAAAAAGGAATAAGGAAATACAGATTAAACAGTTGCAGCAAAGACTGGTGATCTTAAGGTATTTATTCAAAGCTGGTGGTAGAACAAAAACAGTCTTACAGATTCTACCTCTTGATTAACTCAGTGGCTAATTTTGCCTTTTCTCGAAGTTCTTTTGCAAGAAGGTAAAGATATTTTTGTTTCATTAGTTAAGTGCTGTAACTTTATTCCTTTGTGTTTCTCATAAGAAGTATGATTTGGCAGTCTGCCATAAGTTTTTTGGTTTTTTTCTTCCTCTTTGAGACAGGGTCTTGCTCTGTCACCCAGGCTGCAGCGCAGCTGTGTGATCACAGTTTAGCTTACTGCAGACTTAGCCTCCTGGGCTCAAGTAATCTTCTCACCTCAGTCTCCTGAGTAGCTGAGACTACAGGTGCACCCCACCACACCCCGATAAGTGTTTTAACTTCTTGTGGAGATGGGGTCTCACTATGTTGCTCAGGCTGGTCTCAAGCTCTTGGGCCCGAGCAATCCTCCTACCTCAGTCTCCCAAAGTGTTGGAAAGTGTTGGGATTACAGACACGAGCCACCACACCTGGCCTGTTATAAGTTAATACAATAATTCATCAACTAACTTAAAGAACACTAAGACTCTTATAAAAGTAGGTATGAGTTTTAGTAAAAGTATTAAAAGATAAACTGTCACTTAAGGAAAACTAGAGAACATACCAATGCCAAATGGTGTTTTTCAGAGGTGATACCATTCAACACTCACATGTTGAACTGGGCCATTCGTTATAACTCCAGGACACATGTCAATCAGTAAGAGCCCACATGTTTCTCTGAATACACCGTAAGCGAAAGAATATAAAGTAGTCTAGTTAACATTATGTTTAATCAAGAAGCACGTTCCTAAAGATGTTTGTTCATTCATTCTACAGACATTTTTCAGAGGCCTGCTAAGAGTCAAGCATTATGATAGACACCATGGATAAAAGCAGCTTACAACTCAAACAGTGTGGGTATAAATAATGTGACTAGCACTAGAACAGGTGTCATGATGGGGATTCTGAGTATAAATATTTTTTTAAAAATAAATTTTCCTGTATATTTTTGGCTTTTACCTCCTTAATTTAGGCTTTCTGAATGGCACAGCATTTCTGAGGATGCAAACACCTTTCTACAGAGCAAAAACAGCATTTGTATAAATTGTGTCTTTGGGGAACCAAGAGACTTTAAATGTGTTTAAACCAATAATTCAGTCAATATCAACATTAGCTTACATGTAATATTCTCTTAATAGCCCAATTTTTTAAAACACCGTATTCTTAGAAGTTTGGTTTCTAAGATGTCACTTTAAGCTCTTTTGCTTGTTGCTTTTGTGGGATTCACAAGGTTTGTTCTCAGGTACATAAATGAAGGTTAGTATAGAGGATAAATATTATGATTCTCATCTGGGAAAGACAGGTGCTGAGATGTAAAAGAGAGGATCCTCGCCACCCGTGCCCCCACCCCGCACCCACGGATCTGCAGTCTTACCTGCGGGGAGAAAGGTCTCCGAGCCTGGCCTGCTGCTCCAGCTCAGGGTTCCCCCTTTCATGACGGCTTGCAAAGATTTCTTCATTCTGAAGTGAAAGAAATTTTGTTAAGATTTGATATTGTGGGGACCTCCTAACCTATATTTTTCTCTCTCCCAATTTCTGTGTTTGATTTTGGTTTTGATTCCCTCGATAAGCAAAATAACCAGTTTCTCATGCCGCTCTTCCTTGGGTTTTCCCCAGCCGCTCTGTGGATCCATTATGGTTTTGCCCTTTTTGGCTTCCTTTAGGCACACTAAAAACTCATTCCCAAAAGCAGGTATCGGCCGGGCATGGTGGTGGGTGCCTGTAATCCTAGCTACTTGGGAGGCTGAGGCAGGAGAATTGCTTGAACCTGGGAGGTGGAGGTTGCAGTGAGCTGAGATGGCGCCACTGCCCTCCAGCCTCAGCAACAGAGCGAGATGCCATATCAAAAAAAGAAAAAAACAAAAAAAACAAAAAACAGGTGTCCTTTCCCCTTAATCATGAAGGGCTATTCACACTGTACTCATAAGTGATTCATAAGAGGACAGTAAAGCGATCATTGCATTCAGCATCTCCTTTTTTTTTTTTCTCGTAAGAAATCAAGGTCTGGAAAAGTTGCACTCGTCCTAAGACCAGAAAGTGCTGGAGGCAGAGATGAGGTAAGCCCAGTGTAGGCTTTCACAGAGGTGTGATAACAAGTCTAACTAAAGACGTGCCTGGGGTACTAGTTTTGCCAATTCAGCTCTAAAACAATATGGCAATCTTATATTCCAAGTGTGTGTGTGTGTGTGTGTGTGTGTATGTGTGTATATGTGTGTGTGTGTATATATGTGTGTGTATATATATATGTGTGTGTGTGTATATATATACACACGTTTTCCTTTTAAAATAGGATGCCACTCCCATAAGAATCTAAATTTTAGTTCCTTCTATTATATATATCTGGCCAGGGACCAGATAATATTTTTCATGTGTCAATATATAAAAGTTGGCCGGGTGCAGTGGCTCATGCCTGTAATCCCAGCACTTTAGAAGGTGGAGGTCAGTGGATCATTTGAGGTCAGGGGTTCAAGACCAGCCTAGCCAACATGGTGAAACCCCGTCTCTATTAAAAATACAAAAATTAGCCAGGCATGGTGGCAGGCACTGGTAATCCAGCTATTTGGGAGGCTGAGGCAGGAGAATCACTTGAGCCTGGGAGGCGGAGGTTGCGATGAGCCGAGATTGTACCACTGCACTCCAGTCTGGGCAACAGAGTGAGACCTTGTCTCAAAAGAAAAAGAAAAAAAAATATATATATATATATATATGTGTGTGTGTATATATATGTATATATATATATGTGTGTGTGTGTGTATATATATATATGTATATATATATATATAAGTCCCAGGATTCAAATTCGAACCAGTTCCAGGATTCAAATTCAGTCTAATTATTTTCACCACACTACCAAAAAGTCTTTCTTCACATTTTCTATATAAAGTTGAACTAATTAATATAGCAGTGAATGTTACATTGTATCCTTTTGCAGTTTCTCATCTATGACATTACTATGCCCAAACTCCCTACTGAACTTTGAACTCAGTCTTACTCATCTTTGGATCACCAGCATGTAATACAGGCCCTTCATAAAGGGTGACCATTATTACTAACAAAATTTCCTCTCACTGTGAAACCTGCTCCCAATTATAAAATGAATTGTGCTCTTTCGAACTCTGTTGATCTATTGTATGTGGGGTGGATTGTAGAGTCTTATTTCATAATAACCTAATGATGGAAAAATAACAATGATTCAGGTGTAGGTAATGGACCTTGTCATCTTTTACATTGAATGATGACATCTCCCTAATTTATAGATTTTGTCATGCATGAGATGCCCTCAGGAGCTTGCAGGAATGCCTTGGCACGTTGCTCTTGCTGACATGTGTCAGACGGTTGGTGTGGGGGTAGAGGGAGTCTCCTCTGCCAAGCAAGTCTAATGGAATATAACACTGGTGCCATTGAGGATGCAATGGGAAGGACCCACAGCAGATCCAGAGACTGCATTCATGAAAGCTGCACTGTATACCAATGTTTTACTAAGGTGTAGACAGATGAGTTGTGTTCTAGCATAGTGGCTTTCAGCCTGACCACAACTCACAAGAAGTACATCATAACACACACACACACATACACACACATAAACATTTTTTCATTTACATCGTAACTGATGAGATATCTTTTATTTTTATGTTTAATTTTAATTTAATTTTATTTTATTGAGATGAAAGGTGAATTGTAGCCAAATTACTTTTAGGAAATTTTAAAATTATACATTTCGAAAGATCTAGGAGGAAGAGAGCATATTCAAGTAAAAGCTTTCTTTTATTCAAATAGTAGACAAAAATATTGACCATAGAAACTCAGCAATTGCTGCCGTATTTCTTAGTGAGGGATTCCTTATGAGCTCCACTGAATGATAAAAGGATACTCTTCTAAAGCAGAGCAACAATCGTTTTTTGTGACACTGCATCCTTTTTCCCTTCCTTCACCCTGAATTTCCCCTAGGGTATACCTAGGAGACGGAGGGCTGGCAGCCAGCTGGTGCTGTGAAAGGGAAGTCACTCATGCCTGCCCTGTCTGGAGGCCAATCAGGTGGAACAGCCCCTCTCCCCTTATGGTCATTTTATCCTGAAGAAAAAGGGTGGCAAAAAGATGGCAAAGAAGATTGCTGATCACAGATCACTGTTACAAATATAACAACTGGCCGGGCTCGGTGGCTCACGCCTGGAATCCCAACACTTTGGGAGGTCGAGGCGAGCGGATCACGAGGTCAGGAGTTCAAGACCAGCCTGACCAACAAGGTGAAAACCCGTCTCTACTAAAAACACAAAAATTAGCCGGGCATAGTGGCGCATGCCTGTGGTCCCAGCTACTCAGGAGGCTGAGGCAGGAGAATCACTTGAACCCAGAGGTGGAGGTTGAGTGAGCTGAGATTGTGCCACTGCACTCCAGCCTGGGTAACAGAGCAAGATTCCGTCTCAAAAAGGTTGGGGCGGGGGTGGCAATGAAGGCAGGGAACTGCTCTGGGTCCAACTCCCCTCACATACACCCAACCCCCATATCCACCCCACAAACCTCCACCTCCCCACTTCCAGCCTCTCTCCAGTTTCAAAGTGACGCCAACCAACACACAGGCTCTCCAGGAGCACCTTGAATGGTAACTTCTTACATTTTCTCATTACACTTATAATCTAATTGTTTTCTCCCCTATATTTTTAAGAAATACATGCTCTCAAAATTGAATTTTGAGGAATTTCATTAAAAAAAAAAAAAAGTTTTGTTTTCAGTTTCTCTAAAGGACACAGAAACCTTTTTCAAACTCATACTGTGAAAAGTCCCAATAGCTAATTTTCAATCGATTATTGAAATTGTTTTTTTTCTTCACTAAAGGGGAGATAGCAACCTTTGAACGAAATTAAATTAACTTTTTCCCAAAGTTAAATGATTTTACTTTGTGATTTTAGGAATGTGTAGAAAGCGATTTCAGTTCCAACTCTTAAAGTAAGGCTATCTGGGCTGGGCGCGGTGGCTCACACCTGTAATCCCAGCACTTTGGGAGGCCGAGGTGGGCAGATCACCTGAGGTCAGGAGTTTGAGACCAGCCCGGCCAACATGGTGAAACCCTGTCTCTACTACAAATACAAAATTAGCTGGCATAGTGATGCGCGCCTGTACTCCCAGCTACTCGGGAGGCTGAGGCAGGAGAATCGCTTGAACCCAGGAGGCGGAGGTTGCAGTGAGCTGAGATCGTGCCACCACACTCTAGTCTGGGCAGCAGAGTAAGACTCTGTTAAAAACAAAACAAAACAAAACAAACAAACAAAAAAAACCAAGGGTACCTGGTAATTTAAGGTAAAAGTATTATTTACTATTATGATCACTTTCCTTAAAAACAGGAGCTATTGGCCGGGCATGGTGGCTCACGCCTGCAATCCCAGCACTTTGGGAGGCCGAGGCAGGCGGATCACAAGGTCAGGAGATCGAGACCACGGTGAAACCCCGTCTCTACTAAAAATACAAAAAATTAGCCAGGTGCAGTGGCAGGCGCCTGTAGTCCCAGCTACTCAGGAGGCTGAGGCAGGAGAATGGCATGAACCCGGGAGGCGGAGCTTGCAGTGAGCCAAGATTGTGCCACTGCACTCCAGCCTGGGTGACAGAGTGAGACTGTCTCAAAAAAAAAAAAAACAAAAAACAAACAAACAAAAAAGAAAAACGGAAGCTATTAGGCCCAATTCTGAGGAGAGAATAAAAAGTAGATTTCAAGCACCCGTACCACCTTCTTCATTTAAAGAATGACAATAAAATGTTAAAGGTTTAGCATTTTCTGGCATTGTAAATTTAATTAATTAATTATGTAAATTATGGAAATGAGAAATAAAATGAAAAGGTATGTCACGTAAGAATCAATAATTATCAAAATGTTCTCTACCAAATGGGATGCAGGAGAGGATAGTGAGAAAAAGGAAAGGAAAAGGAAGGGAAGGAAATAAAGGCAAAGGTATTTACCCACAGCCTGAGTCCAGGGTGTTCTACACCATGCAGCCCCAGAGTGAAAAATACTAGCCTCAGGAATGAGTGGCTCTGTCTTCCTCTCCACAGCTGATGGGAAAAAGAGGGGAACCCTCAACTGTTTGTTTTGAGATTCACTGGGTTTTGATATGGAGAACAGGAAGAGACTCTATCCTAGCAGTGCATTCACAGCTGGTTTGTCTGCCCTATTTGCTCTACCCTAGCACTTCTTTTCCTACTTTCCATTTTCACTGCCTGCAAAAGCCACTGCAATATTACTTTGGAAAACTGGGCAGTCTGTCCCTTTTTTAAAACCGCAACTATTTCCAGGAGAGTTAAAGGGCTTTCAGACTGCCCATCATTCATGCATTGTGGTGAACTAGCTCAGATTGCCTCTACCTTTAGTCCAGATCAGCTGTCTTGGGAGGGGGGCTTCCTGGAGGAAAGGACAAGGAGAGGAAGGTTTTAGGACATTGTATAGACTGAATCCCCTTTGGAGGGGAACGGCA